TTGTTATAAGGGATGATTCTCTGGGAGGACAAGGAATGGAGAGAAATCTAGCGAGAAATCTAGGTGATACAAAAACATCAATAAAAATCTATCAACCCTCCCAGCCTCCCAAAAAGAATAAAACTTGAACCCAGATCCCTCTAGTGCCTACACCAATACTTTTTACATTATACAGTTTCTGCCTCTCAAGTATAGCCTCAAACCCTGAAATAAGTGATTGATGTCACTGTTAACATTCTCTGGGGTCATTAGAATGTAAGCTCCTTTACAGGCAAAGACTGTTTCTTGTCTCTTTACTCAGCATCTCTAATACTTAGCTCAGTGCCGAGAAGATAGTAGGCACCTAATAAGTATTTATTGATTGACGTTTGAACAGTTCTAGAGATTGAGAGGTAATGAAGGACTGGAGAAGGACAAATACCTAATTTTTTAAAAAAGGAAATCTAATGGAGTCTGTAAACTATAGGCCAGTGAGCTTAATCCTTGATAAAATAATTGGAATATACTGTTAATGGTACATTAGCTAACATCTAGAAAAGGAAGTAGGAATCACAAAGAACCAGCATGGCTTCATCAAGACAGGAGTGAGAAAGGATAAGGAGTCCAGAGGGTACATGAACTAAAAGGTTCAAAAGAACCAAGCCCTCTCTGAGAGAAAACGCCAGAGGCCAAGGTTCATACAAAAAGGCTTCCGGAGAAAAGAAGGCATCCCTGGGAACAGGTTTCAATCGGGCAATGACTGCTGATCAATGTGCTAGCTAGTTTTGTTGCTGTTCTTGAGTTGTTTCAGTCGGGTCCAACTCTCTGTGACTCCATTTGGGGTTTTCTCGGCAAAGATACTAGAATGGTTTGCCCTTTCCTTCTCTAGATAATTTTACAGATGAAGAACTGAGGCAAACAGGGTTACACAACTAGTTAATGTCTGAGGCCAGATTTGAACTCAGGTGCTCCTGAATCCAGGACTGATGCCCTGTCTGCTGTGCCACCTAGCTTTTAGTAGTCACAAAACTGCAGCTCTGGAGAGGACTTCTCTAAAGGCAGTGTAGGGGAGCTAGAGGATTCTAGACAAGGTGAAGGCTGCTCCAAGCCAGAGAAGCAGGAGCTGACCCCAGGGGGAAGGAAGCAGGTCACAGAGGGGGACCTAGAATTGGTACCTGACACAAGACTCATCCAGCAACACATAAAACTATATTGCTCAATAACTGACTGAGATTCAAGGATTGGAGGATAGATTAGGAAATGACACTCACCTGGAGGTGAGACACATAACTATCATCTCATCATAGCAGATAAAAGACTAGTATTATTCTGTTCATTAATACACTGAATAAATATTTATCTTTAATTTCTTTTCTTTTCTTTTATTATTTTTCAATTGGCAAAAATTTGCCTCTATTCCTCCCCACTCCTCACCATGAGAATGAAGGAAAAACAAAACCCCTGTTACAAATATGCATAGTCTAGCAAAAAAAATTCTACATTGACCACATTAAAAAAAAAAATATATATATATATGTTACATTTCTGAGTCTTTCAGCTCTTTATCTGGAGGTAGGTAGTTTGTTTTATCATTAGTTTCTGGAATTATAAATATTTATTTTTATACGCTTATTGTTTTAACCTTAAAGAAATGTCACTTAAAGGAGTGGGCCTTAATATCCCTTACAGGACAGGGAGAAATAAATCAAATTCAGATGATCCCAGGGTTATTCGGGGTGGGTGCATAAAATCAAAACCAAGACCAAACTTGAGTCTTCACAAATCCTGAGCTTGGGTTTTGAAGTTTATACTCTGAAGATGTTTGAGGAGCCAAATAACACGACAGGCTCTATTTATTAAAAAACAAAAACAACAAAAAAATATGTCTCTGTGTCATGAAAGGTGACTTGGAAAGGCAAAAGGCTATAATCATAGTCCAGGTGGTTGGCACTCAGGGCTTGAAATAGGGCGGTGGCAATGGGAACAGAGAGGAACAGATGCATGGGAGAGAAATGATGCGTATGGGATCTATAGGACTGAGTAATGGATTGATTGTGAAAGGTGAGGGTAATGGAAGAATGAAAGGTAATCTTCTGATGCGGAGACACTCAATGAGAGGTTGTGGCACAGAGAGAAATAATGAAGCCAGTGGGCTTAGGGAGAAAGATAATGAGCTCAAGGTAACTTGCTATAAACAATGAGCAACATTAAAATCCCCACATTTTTGCATGAAATACAAGGTGCCTCAAATGATATGTTTCTTAGGAAGGTAGGCAGGGGTGGGATTCACGTAATCATCATTATGTTTATCTCGCTGTGTATCCAATCCAAGGAGTATCGATTTTGATTAATATCCCTGAATTCAATAGTAAGGGAATGACAAGTGGCCTGATTTTATTCAAACCCAAACAGAGGACATGGCTGATTTTATTTTTGTTTCTTTTTATTGTTACTTGTCTGGTTATATTAGAATAAATACAGGTATCACTTATGAGATATATCATACTATATATGATAAATATGTATATATATACATACATATATGGTGAAAGACATGATTTATCATACAAAGAACAGCAACATAACTAAACTATTAAGCTGTAGTTCAAAAAACTACTTCTTGGTTCTATAAGAAAATGGTTTTCAAATATCATGGTATCCTTAGACAGCTATGCATTTAAAGTCATTTTTCAATATCTTTGTTAATGGAAAGAATTAGTATCACACATAATACAAAATGACAAATCATCAGAAAATAATTTGTTTGGTTTTTGTACTTGTATTTTAATATTCTAAATGGATATTCAGAAAACATACAAATACTTCAAGCAAAAAGAAAAGTAAGACACACTGTAATGTCTCGTCTCAGGAGGGGTTCAGTCAGACACTGGCTTTCTTACACTATCTCTTCATTAGCCCATTTGCTTTCTACTTTATCCTAGAGATGGATAATATCAACTAGAAGACAAAGAATCAGCCTAAGTTGAATGACTTTTTCTAGTTGATATGTTTTTTGAGTTGGGGGGAAGAGGGTAATTTGGTAGTTTGGTTGGAAATGTCTCTTTGGGCACTAAGATCAAGCAAAGCTCGTTTTACTCTGTACACTAACAATGTTATCACCTATTTTGTCTTAGTAACTTTAACAATACTTCAAAAAAAAATTTGCCACAACAAAGCCATAATATTTATATGTGTGTGTGTGTGTGTGTGTGTGTGTGTATGTTTGTGTGTATAAAATCTATCCATGGCCAATCAAGCTTTGACAAATAGCTATGTAAAAACATTTAAAAATTCCATATATGTTCAGCCAGACGTATGGATATCACTGGTCCAATTCCTTCCATTAAGACTACCCAACTAAATGTATGGTCTTAGTGGCTCAGAGACATAAGTGGCTTGTTGTTAAGTTATTTCAGTCTTGTCTGACTCTTCATGACCCCATTTGGGGTTTTCTTGGCAAAGGCACTGGAGTGGTTTGCCATTTTCTCCTCCAAGTCATTTTACAGATGAGGAAACTGAAGCAAAGAGGGTTAAGTGACTTGCCCAGGGTCACACAGCTAGTAAGTGTCTGAGGCCAGGTTTGAAACTGGGAAGACGTGTCTTCCTGACTCCAGGCCCAGCACTCTGTCTACTGTGCCACCTAGCTGCCCTTTAAGTGACTAATCACAGCTAAGAAATATCAGAGGCAGCATTGTGAAAGCATGCCTTCTTGACTCCAAGTCCAACACTTTCTCCACTGCTCTGCGTGATCTCTTACAAAAATTTTTATTTTTTCCAGTCAGCAAAAATCCAGCCCTCTTCCCCCTCAACATCTCCATACTCTACCTCATTGAGAAATAAAGAAAAACAAAATCCCTGTAACAAACATGCATAATCAAGAAAAAAAAAATATCCCACATTGGCCATGTCCGAAAATGTTCACATCCATTTAAAATATGATGTGCTTTGTTGAATGCAGTGTTGATTTTACTCTATTTTATCTTGTTTTGGATGGCAGTATACTTATACTGGTACAGAAAACTATGAGTGAGGAGATGCCTTCTACCAATGCATATCAACACTTGCTCTACAACTTTGCATCTTAGATAATTACCCCCAGCACTGAGAAATTAAATGACTTGTCCAGGGCCACAGAGCCAATTTGTGTCAGATACTCAAGTCTTCCTGAGTTTAAGCCAGTTAGATTGCCTCTATCCAACATGCTATGCTGAGCTACATGTGATGTCTTAAATAACCTATTGCATAAATAAACCACCCTCCCTCGGGGCAGGTAAGTGGAGCTATAGTCCACAAGTTTGAGGCCTGGAGTCAAGAAGACAAGTTCAAATTTGGTCTCAGATACTTATTAGCTATGTGACCCTGGGCAAGTCATTTAATGTTTGCCTCTGTTTCCTGTTCTGTAAAATGAGCTGGAGAAGGAAATGGCAAACCACTCCAGTATCTTTGCCAAGAAAACCCCAAATGGGGTCACAAAGAATCGGAAATGATTGAAATGACTATACAACAGCAACCACCATAGGAATCACACATGTTCAAACTTATGTAGAATGTTACCATGTCAGAAGATATATGCTACAGAATACACAAGATATGTAGACAAAATATGAAAACCCTATGCAAGAACCCTAGACTGAACACACAGACACTCCCACTCCTCCCCACAACACCCACATACTCTCATTCACCAAAACCAAACCTGACAAGACTTTCACTATGATTCCCTCAGGCATAGTTCATATTCATATGTATTTGCTTGTCTGCCATTATGTAGTGCCTGTTTACCACTAGAGTCCTGACTTGAAAAGCTGTGGCAGATAGCAGATGTAGCAATTAATAACCTGTCAAGGCTGATGGATAGGATTAAAAAATTGTTCTCACATATCTCCTGTGTGTTTTTCTTCCCCATTTAGGGGCCCTGGGGGTCATCAAACACACACTGTTTCCCTGGAGAGCTATGGAGCTGTCTCATTAGTGTCTGCCTTTTGTGACACTATCACGCAGCCTTTGAGATGTTAACTCACCTGTTCTTCCCCAAGAATTCTGAAGTGATGAAGCTCTTTAATCAAGGAGTCTGGACAGCCAGCTGTTGAAAAGAAGAATTAATCTTAAAAATCATAGGCAATGTTTTAGAGGTAATATAAGTATATGTATTTTCATAACCATAAGAGGATCAGAGAATCATAAATATAGATCTGGGAGGGACATCTATTTCAAACCCCTCATTTTAGAGATGAGAAATCTGATGTCCAGAGAGGTCAAGTCACATGCCCAAGGTCACATTGGTTGTTAATGAAAAAGGCATGATTTGAAATAGGTCCTCTGATTTCAAATTCAGTGTTTCCTCCCACTTTACCACACTGATGGTCAGTCTTCTTGTTCTCCAAGCATACACATGGGCCTATCTATGCACACGTAGATACAAACATACTAAATGAACATTCTATAAAAGATGCCTTAGTTTTAGGATAGCTTTTCAGGGCGTTCTGTGATTCTGTTCATGTTCACCTCCTGGTCTATCACAGTTTCTGGTTTCTAGGTTGACCATCCAAAGATGTGTAGTCCAACACTGATCACATAGGCAGAGTTTGAGATTGCTATTGGGGGATGGGGAGAGTTCGGTGGTCTGACAGTGTTATTATTTTCACTATACAGCTCAATCACTCTCAGGGCCAGGGCCCTGCATATAATGCACATCAACAACTTTCAGTACCCTCTTTTGTTCTGCCAAGAGGCTGTGTGTGTGTGTGTGTGTGTGTGTGTATGTGTGTGTGTGTGTGTGTGTGTGTGTGTATACAAGCAAACCCAGTTTGCCTTGGGAAGGTGGGAAAAAGTTCCCTAGCATTCTGAAGTGACAACTTCCTCTTCTGATCTCATCGGTCATTAGGTAAATCAACCCTGCTCTTCAGTGATGGTGAGCACTCATTCTTCACTCTCTACCCCCTTATCCCAACCTACTAGCTCCCACTAGCTCCCATTCCAAGAGAAGAACTTGACTGTCCAAATACTCTCCATTCAGGTCAGGCAGTGTAATACCAGATATTTAATATGGGAATCTGGCAACCTGAGGGAAGGGATAATTTCCTTTGGTAATAACAATCAGAAAGGATTAAACTAATTAATATCCAATTAAAACATTTACTTTTCCATAGCACTACAGATATTTTAAATCATCACTAACTGTTGGAATTCATCTTTGAAAATAAATTAAAACAATGTCAGAATATACTTCAAAATGCTTTATCAACCAAACACTGAATGGCTAACAAATTTTGGCCCCCTACCATAGGATATCATGTCTAAGAGACAGCTCAAAATGCTAGTCTCTTCTCCCATGTTCTATAGGCCCTTCAGCAAAGGAATCAGGGTATTGTAATCACAACAGCACCTAATAATAGCATGTTTCTTTTAGGAAAAATTGTTATGAAACATTCCCTCCAGAAGCTTGGGATATATTCTGCCATAGATACATATAATGCCAATGGGAAGATTTTACAGAGAATTCAACAGCGGCAAGGCACATGTATTCAAGGGACTAGTGGCCCAATTAACTCAGGCCTCTAGCACTGTATTTCCCTGAAGTTCTTTCTCTCCTTGTATGAAGCTCCCAGTACAGACTAGCATCTCTTGTGGATGTATTGCTCAGAACCAAGGACAGCTCTTCAATCCCACTCAACTCTCAACTCAAGACTTGTTCTCCCTCAAATCCATAGTTGGCTCTCTTCTCTGCAATCAGTCGTCCTATTTCTTGAAACCACTTCCTCCTGGGAGTCACTCCCTTTGTGTGTCTGAATGAAAAGGAGATGCACCTGCTCTCTTAACTGTGTTTTAAACTGACTCCCCAAATTGTTCAACTCATAGGGTGTGTCCCTTATTGAGTTTGTAGGTTCAGCTCCAAGCTTCCTATTTTAGAAAGCCCACTCTTCTGATTGATGCCTTATGTGGCATACTATATCTATGCAGGCTCCAGGCATTCTTTACTCTTTTTATCTTTTTAGTAGCCACTTTGTGCATACCCTACATGGGATCCAGTACTGAAACCATAATCATTCTACCAGAATTCTCCTGAAAAGAATGTGTCACTCTGCTTCCTAAGGGGTCCACTCACTATCCCAGAGGTTCCCAAACTTATTTGGCCTATTGCCCTCTTTTCAAAAAACATTACTCAGTGCCCCCCTGGAAATCTACTTTTTTTTTAATCCTTTAACAGTTTTTTGTTTTTTTTTGAAAATTTCCACTTCAAAAAGTATATAAACTTTTTTTAAAAAAAATGACACCTTAAATTTAATAATTTATTATAAATTTGGTTTTTTATGCATCGAAATTTTGATGATGCAATATTGGTTATGTAACCATGTAGTATCGTATTATAAACAAGTTATTACATGCACGTATTCCTGCCGATGCACACTGGATTTCCTGATAATGTGCGACATGCTTGCTTGCCAACACTTACTTCTTAAGACCTGTCAGCAGAATTGACCACTTATCAATTATAATTTGCATTTTGTGGGTTTATTTGGAAAATAATGTAAACACTACATTTAACTCTGCTACACAACAGATGAAACATGTACAAACGGTTTTTCAAAAATTTCTTCTCTTCTTTCCTTATGTTTCTACTGCTCCCTTATTTTTATTCAATGCCCACCAGTTGTACCTAAGGCTACTTCTGCCTCCCCACCCCCAGAGTGTTCTAGCACCTCCAGGAGGTGGTACTGCCCACTTTGAGAACCTATGCACCATCTCTATAGTTTTACAAACCTAAGTATCTCTCCCTGGCTATTGACCTCCTACATGTGTTATTTCCACTATTAAATGTAAGTGTCTTCAGGGTTGCCTTCATTTTTTATTTGTATCCCTAGCACTTAGCACAATGACTGGCACCTAGTGAAGGCTTAATAAAATGCGTTTTCTTTTTCATTCATTCAAACCACCTACCATTGTAATACAAGCTTATTTCTAGATTAGGATAGGAAAAAGGGTAAGGACTGGACCTGTGAATTCATCAATACAGGGAATTCCTGGGTGAGGATACTGCCTCTGCCAATATCGGTCAGCACGTTCTCCAAATCTTACAGTATTAGAGAGTTGCCAAAAGTACAGAGAGGCTAAGGGAATTGTCCAGGGTGACGAGGTCAATACGGATTAGAGCCTGGGCTTGAACCCAGGTTTTCCTAGCTTCAAGATCGCTTTCTATTGATAATGACATGCTGCCTCTCTCTTCCTATATTACATAGGATTTGATGAAACTATGAAGATTTACTAAGTACTGATTGATTAATTACTAATTACTTCTAAGTACCAATCTTATAGAGTAAGGTCATAGCCTACATTACCAATTTAGTTAACTGTGCTGCTTCTGAGTTTTAGATAATATAAAGAACCTAAAACAATACATAAGATATTGGATCAGAAGTCTTAGAACTGGAAAGGAAATTAGACATCATCTAGTTAATGCCCTATTTTCACAGGTGAAGAAATGGAGACTCAGGGGCAGCTAAATGGATAGAGCACAGGCCCTGAAATCAGGAGGACCTGAGTTCAAATCCAGCCCCAGACACATAACACTTACTAGCTGTGTGACCCTGGGCAAGTCACTTAACCCCATTGCATAGCCAAAAAAAAAAAAAGAAAGAAAGAAAGAAAGAAAGAAAGAAATGGAGACTCAGAATCAAGAACTGAGTTGCCAATAGTCACATAGGAGTAAAGTATAAGAGAGAATTTGAACCCAGATCTTCTGAATCCAGTTCCAGTGCCCATTATTAACAAGAAGGCTCATTTGCAGAAGCACATTCACCTGTACATTAAGGAGCCCACCTCTGATGATGTACTCAGTTTCCCTGAACTGTAAAATGGGGATAATACAGCATCTACTTCTCAGGGTTGTTGGTGCAGTAGATAGAGTACCGAGCTTGCAGTCAGGAAGACTCATCTCTCTGAGTTGAAATCCAGCCTCAGACACTTACTAGCTGGGTGACCCTGAGCAAGTCACTTAACTCGTTTTGCCTCAGTTTCCTCATTTGTAAGATGAGCTGGAGAAGGAAATAGCAAATCACCTCATTATCTTTGCCAAGAAAACCCCAAACGAGGTCATGAAGAGTTGGATATGACTGAAATGACTCAACAACAACAAACTTGGCACAGTGCCTGGCACATAGTAACGGGTTGATAAATGCTAATTCCATTCTCACCTCCAAATACCCCTTCCCCCTTCCCATTCCAAGTAAGTTTAGTGAACTCTTGTCAATACACTTCTGCTTCTTTTAATGAGTAAGGAAGCAAATGTCCGTACTTCTTGATGAGGAAAGGAATCTAAATGGTGAATCCAATACAAGGCCTTGGAGTGTTCAGCCATGTGACATTAGATTAATGACTGCCATTAATAAGAGTTTGCTGACTTTTAATGTGATAGTTTGGCTTTTGATGGCAGTAGATATTTGGCAATATAAGATTTAAAGAGCAATATGCATTGAGGTACCAACCTCACCCCTGAAGCCTCTTCTAACTTAGCTCTCATTGCCCATCAGGGAGACCAGGGAAGTAGGACTTGTTTCAAAGCCCAGGAATGCTCTCAATGCAAGAAACTGCTTCAGAGTCTTTGAGACTGCTCTGGACACCTTTTCTTGACCTGCCTTGTTTCCTGTCTTTCTGATTTCTAGCTCTGGCCTTCAACCTTGATTTATGTTTCTCTTTCTGCATTCCACTGCTGTTGCCAGGTTTTATAGGTGACTCTGCTGTGCAGCATGGCCAGGCTATGGTGAATCAGCTTCAGCTGGGTTAGTATCAGTAGGTATACCCCTCCCCATGTGGAGCCCCTCCTCAGACTTGCCACCAGTCAGTTGGGCCCAAGTTTATGCATAACTTTGTTATTCTAGGCCTGTTCACACTGCTCATGACAGCACAATTATTGACAAGATGGAATTTGGGGGGAACTGTGGTGGAAGGGAATCCTGTCTTGTGACTTTATTAGCCTAAAGAATTCCTTGGTTGGAAACTTCCTTTACCAAAAGCAACTCATCTATAACTTATAATCTCAGAAAGTTGCCTGAAGTCTCTAAGAAATTAAGTGACTTTTCTGGGGTC